ATCTGCAACACTTCAAAGAGATTCTTCTTGTATGTCTCCAATCGGGTGAATAGGATCAGACAAACAACCTGTCCAGAGCAGTGGTTCTACGTACCCTCAGAACAAAATCCTGCAGATTATGCTACCAGGCCTACACAGATAGCTTGCCTTCAGAACTCTATATGGTTCTCAGGTCCACCTTTTCTGTATCAGACAGCTGTAGATACTCCTGATGACAACAATGTTTATCCTTTAGTGGATCCTGAAGCTGATCCTGAAATTAGGTCAGAAGTAGTAAACTTCAGTACTAAAGCCTTTGACACCAGACTACGGCCGCATTGTTTCGAAAGATTTTCCAACTGGAAGAGATGGAGGAGAGAATACCTGTGTACCTTACAAAGTCACAAGAAATGGACTGAGACCAGTCCCAACGTCAAAGATGGAAATGTTGTTTTATTGAAAGATAGTCAAGAAAGCAGAAACAACTGGCCTGTGGGAATTGTCACAAATACATTGCCAAGTAAAGATGGTAATGTCAGAAAGGTTGAAGTCAAAGTGACAAAACAAGGGACTGCTAAAGTGTATACTAGACCAGTTTCAGATCATTGTCATTGTTCTCCTTTGAATAGCATTTCTGTTGTGTAGTTGGCACAATACATAGCAGAGACCTCCTCACTGATAGCGTTCAGGCGAGACATTCGCCATTGAGTTAAATTCCATCCTGTGGATTACAATTGGGGTTGGAGATAGTTTGGCCTTGGGCGGCTACTCCAATCCGAAGATGGGTTTATGGACTATACTATTTCTTCATGTGGGCTATAAGCTTGAAGTACCATAGCCAAAAGACCCTGATATGATGTGGACTCATGTTTTAGTTTATGTTACCAATCTAGGCCGGAATGTATTTTCTTATGTGTTTTCCCTGTACAGTAGCTATGTATAGGTAGTGATATAATATATTATATCAGGCAGGGAGTGTGTTGCCTTCACAGGCTAATGGAATTAAAGTTACTTATATGGGACATGTAGTGTACCACTGCCATCTAGTGGCAAACATATATGGCAGTTCTCCTTTGGAGATGTAAGCTCTCAGACAGGAAATGACTCTTGGTTTAGGAAGCTCGTCAGCCATTTTAGACTTCTATTCACTGGGGATGCAGTGTGCTTGCTTCTCTCCCAAGGGGCTTGAGACATCATCACCTGTAAGTGCCTTTCTTCTGTGTCATCTGTCATTTATGTTACACTAGTTATTCTATGTATACTGATATGCTGTTATTGTATTGTGTTTCAGTTTCACCTATAAAATAAAGTTGGATTCTTTGGTAGACAACACAAGCAGTGGGCTTCTGTTTGCTGGAGATTCTGACAAGGGTTTAGCTGTCCGTTTAGAGCCACACATAGTCAGTGTTTTGAGAACGGAACAATGGTGGTGGCAGCATCATGCTTTGGGGATGTTTTTCATCAGCCGGATCCAGGGTCTTAGTCAAGGTAGAGGGAATTATGAAGAGTTCCAAATACCAGTCAATATTGGTCCAAAACCTTCAGGCTTCTGCTAGAAAGCTGAACATGAAGAGGAACATCATTCTTCAGCATGACAACGACCCAAAGCATACATCCAAATCAACAAAGGAATGGCTTCACCAGAAGAAGATTAAAGTTTTGGAATGGCCCAGCCAGAGCCCAGACCTGAATCTGATTAAAAATCTATGGGCTGATCTGAAGACGGCTGTGTACAGAAGATGCCCTTGCAATCTGACAGATTTGGAGTGTTTTTGCAAGAAAGAGTGGCCAAATTTTGCCAACTCAAGATGTGCCATGCTGATAGATTCATACCCAAAAAGACTGAATGCTGTAATAAGATCAAAAGGTGCTTCAACAAAGTATTAGTTTAAGGATGTGCACACTTATGCAACCATATTATTTTAGTTTTTTTTATTTTTACTTCCTTCCACCTAAAACTATGCAGTTTGTTGTTCAACTGAGTTGCACAGTTTATAGGTCACAGTAAAGGTGAAAAAAGTCCTGAAAACATTTATCTTTATCTAATTTTTTTACATCACAGAAACCTGACATTTTAACAGGGGTGAGTAGACTTTTTATATCCACTGTACGTGCCGACTACAAAGCTGATTGTAAAACTATACCTCTTGTACTGCACTATAATGGTTTTGAATGATGCCCATAGGATAACCCGCAATTTGGGTAACAAATGTACCCCGCTACATCCAGCTGTATCTGGTGTGCGTGAGCCCTTAATGATTACATAGATAACATTTTTTCTAATGATATTCAAAGTTAGCCCTTTGAAAGCTGAAAGCAACAGGATCATATGATGTTTAGCTGGTCATCTAAGGGCCAAGCTAGCAATCCTGTTGCTAGCAACAGCTTGCCAATGGCAGGATCGCTATGAGCAGCAGGGCGATGGAATACTCACCTGCTCTTTTGCTGGTGACTTACATTCTGCCATATTTTTTTTTAAATATATTTATTGAAGTTTAATCAGAAACAGAGATTGATATGCATTCTAGGAGAGATCAGAATGATCAAGGAAGTTAAGGGTACAATCTTTATCCTTTAAAACACAGTGTAGAGTTTTCTTGCATGCAATATGAAGAGAAAAACTAACAGAATTTTGATGACTCTTAATAACTAGTGTTACATTATAAGCAAATAACAACAGAAAATAAGTTATGAGTCAAAATGTGAACATTATTACAGCTTTAAACTGGCATCTTGATATCTAGAAATTAAATAAAAGGAGGGGGGTGGGGGATGTTAGGGTAATTATCCTCCCATGAGATCACAGGTCTTGTGGGAGGAAGAAAAACTGCCCGAATGAAAAACATCTAAATTGAATAACAGGTTTCAAGAGGTTGTAATTTTCAGTTTGCCCAGGGAGTCAGTCAGGCTGGCCTTAAGGTACTACAGTGTTTTCTGTCAGCGAGGGAGTGTCAGTCCTAGACGAGGGACTTCACATGCAGACTGATGAGTGTTTTTACTGCACATTTTAGCAATCCTGTATCTGCCAATTTCTTCCCAGCGAGACCAGAAACACTTGTGTGACATGGGCCCTAAAAAGCTCAAAGGACAATATATATTTATACAGTTGTGTTCAAAATAATAGCAGTCACACATCACTAACCTGATCAATCACTGTTTTTGGTAGAAATGATATTTCTACATGGTAAATAATTTACTAGCAGGTGTAGTAGAGTAATAGAAATCCAACAGACCCAACAGTCATGACATGCATGCTGCTGATTCTGTGTAATTAAATCACTAATTGAAAGGGGCATGTTCAAAATAATAGCAGTGTGGAGTTCTATTAGTGAGGTCATTCATTGTTTGAAAAACAGGTGGCAATTATTGCCCTTATTTAAGGAAGGAAGGCAGCAAATGTTGTACATGCTGGTTACAGTGCATTTCTCTCTGAAAGTCTGAGGAAAATGGGTCGTTCCAGACATTGTTCAGAAGAACAGCGTACCTTGATTAAAAAGTTGATTGGAGAGGGGAAAACATATAAAGAAGTGCAGAAAATGATAGGCTGCTCAGCTAAAATGATCGCAAATGCTTTAAAATGGCAACTAAAACCTGAAAAACGTGGAAGATAGCGAAAAACTACCATTTGAATGGATAAAAGAATAGCCAAAACGGCAAGGACTCAGCCAACAATCAGCTCCAGGAAGATCAAAGAAGGTGTAAAGTTACTTGTGAGTACTGTTACAATTAGAAGACGCCTATGTGAAGCCAAGCTATCTGCAAGAAGCCCCCGCAAAGTCCCACTGTTGAAAAAAAGACATGTGCTGAAGAGGTTACAATTTGCCAAAGAGCACATTGACTGGCCTAAAGAGAAATGGCACAACATTTTGTGGACTGATGAAAGTAAGATTGTTCTTTTTGGGTCTAGTGGCCGGAGACAGTTTGTCAGACGACCCCCAAACACTGAATTCAAGCCACAGTACACTGTGAGGACAGTGAAGCATGGTTGCGCAAGCATCATGATATGGGGATGTTTCTCATACTATGGTGTTGGGCCTATGTATCGCATACCAGGGATCATGGACCAGTTTGAATACATCAGAATACTTGAAGAGGTCATGCTGCCTTATGCTGAAGAAGAAATGCCCTTGAAATGGGTGTTCCAACAAGACAACGACCCCAAACACACCAGTAAACGTGCATCTTGGTTCCAGACCAACAAGATTGACGTTATGGAGTGGCCAGCCCAATCCCTGGATCTTAATCCAATAGAAAACTTGTGGGGTGACATCAAAAATGCAGTTTCTAAAGCAAAACCAAGAAATAGAGAAGAACTGTGGAATGTAGTCCAATCATCCTGGGCTGGAATACCTGTTCACAAGTGCCAGAAGTTGGTTGACTCCATGCAGTACAGCACTTCTCAGAAACAGTGGTTATACAACTAAATATTAATTAAGAGATTCAAAGGAAAGCAAAATCTTCAAACATTTTTCAGTTTATATAGTGAATGTTTGAGTTTGTAAAGAATACAAAGTGCTATTTTTTTGAACAGTCTAATATTCACTTTTCTTCAATTTTATTAGAGGAACAGCAAAAATTTGATATATTTTTCTTCATGTTTTGATTTGGAATAGAATGTGTAGTGTTCCCAATGCATAGGTGTATGGAAATAAAAGCTATTAGAAGGATTTTGAGCTTTATTCGCTTTTTTCAACACACTGCTATTATTGAACACAACTGTATGTATATATATATATATATATATATATATAGTTCCTCTGTAATTGCAGTTGCTCCAGATCTTAGTAAATGAGGGGAAGCACTGCTGACTTCCATCATCAGTCATATGCAAAAATGCTGTTCTTTTATTTCCTTGCAACTGATTGGTATTCTTTGTAAAGTGAAGCTTTACCTCATTTACTAAGCTCTCAAGCACCTGCAATATATATACACTATAGTGCCAAAAGTATTGTGACAGCCCTCCTAATCATTGGATTCAGGTGTTCCAATCACCTCAATGGCCACAGGTGTATAAAATCAAGCACCTAGTCATGCAGACTGCTTCTTCAAACATTTGTTAAAGAATGGGTCGCTCCCAGGAACTCAGTAAATTCAAGCGTGGTACCATGATAGGTTGCCACTGCGCGCAATAAGTCCATCCGTGAAATTTCCTTGCTACTAAATATTCCGCGGTCAACTGTTAGTGGTATTATACTAAAGTGGAAGCAACTGGAAACAACATCAACTCAGCCACAAAGTGGTAGGCCATGTAAAATGACAGAGCTGGGTCAGCATATGCTGAAGCGCACAGTGCACAGAAGTCGCCAACTGTCTGCAGAGTCAATAGCTAAAGACCTCCAACCTTCAGATTAGTACAACAGTGTGTAGAGAGCTCTATGGAATCTGTTTTCATGGCCGACCAGCTGCATTGAAAACTTACATCACCAAGTGCAATGCAAAGCAAATCGCCACTGGACTCTAGAGCAGTAGATACGTGTTTTCTGGAATGACGAATCACGCTTTTCTGTCTGCCAATCCAATGGATTGGATGCTGAAGCGCACAGTGCACAGAAGTCGCCAACTGTCTGCAGAGTCAATAGCTAAAGACCTCCAACCTTCAGATTAGTACAACAGTGTGTAGAGAGCTCTATGGAATCTGTTTTCATGGCCAACCAGCTGCATTGAAAACTTACATCACCAAGTGCAATGCAAAGCAAATCGCCACTGGACTCTAGAGCAGTAGATACGTGTTTTCTGGAATGACGAATCACGCTTTTCTGTCTGCCAATCCAATGGACGTGTCTGGGTTTGGAAGTTGCAAGGAGAATGATACTTGCCTGACTGCATTGTGCCAAGTGTAAAGTTTGGTGGAGGGGGGATTATGGTGTGGGGTTGTTTTTCAGGGGTTGGGCTTGGCCCCTTAGTTCCAGTGAAGGGAACTCTTAAGGCCTCAGCATACCAAGACATTTTGGACAATTTCATGCACCCAACTTTGTAGGAAAAGTTTGGGATGACCCCTTCCTGTTCCAACATGACTGAGCACAAAGCAAGGTCCATAAAGACACGGATGAGCAAGTTTGAGTTAGAGGAACTTGACTGGCTTGCACAGAGTCCTGATCTCAACTACTGTAAATGCCAAAAAAAGCAACTTACAGAGCCACAGAGCCACCTAATTAATGATCTAACTTCTGTGGATACCTAGAACATCTTTGGAATGAATTAGAGCGGAGACAAGGAGACAGGCTTTCTCATCTGACATCAGTGCCTGACCTCACAAATGCGCTTCTGGAAGAATGGTCACACATTCTCAAGAAGATACTAGTATATTGAAAATGCATACACAAGCTCATCTATCTTAAATGATTAATTTCCAAGACAAGGGTAGTTTTTTTTCCTGGAAAATGTTGGTTACACATAATAATGATATTAATAATAATTGTTAATATTAAATGGGCTTGCTCTTCTGCAATACAGATTGTTTTGTAATATGTTTATGTTTCTAGTATGCCTTATTACTGTTTGTAACATTCCTGTACATATGCTTTCTATTTGTTTATAGAGAGCGTATTATTATATAAACAGATTAATGACAATAAAAGGTCAGAGAGGCATTTACAAGGGAGTGGGCAGATGTTGTAACGTATTAGGTCACTCAAGGATTTGGCAGGGATAATATAATTACCTTGTGTTAGTATAGGGCAGGAGAAACCCATAGAAGCTAAAGGCATAGTGTCTAGATTCTTTCTAAATGCTATGATATGTTCTTCATATTGCTATTCTACTTTTTTACGCGCAAAGTGAGGTTTTTGCTGAAAAGGAAAATGTTTAGTATCTTGCACCAGATCCCTGATTAAAGTGGAACTGCACTGCATCGGAGTACCACAAACCAAAAATACTATATAATTCATTTTTAATATTCAAAACAAAGTCCTCTACCCATCTATGGCTCCATGCTTTATTTTGCTGATAATTCATTTTGAAAAACACATTTGGCATTTCTGGCAGTAGCCATCTTGAGTAAGGGCAGATGATTAATGTGGCAGTTGGTTCCTGGAATCCATCTGTCCTTAGCTCAGGCATTGGCTGAGCTGAGAACCCTCCCTCCCCTCCTGAAGCTTTCTGGGGTGTATGATATCATTTGCCTAGGCATGAAAACCAGGAAGTAAATAAAGGAATGCAAAAAAAAGTTTAAAAACAAGCAAATATGATAAATTTATCTTTTTATGCTAACAGCAAAAGGATTAGAAATAGTCCATCTTGATTGAGAGTGAAGTTACACTTTAAGAATGCCATTAGCTGGAACACTATAAAGTAAAAGTTGTTGGTCAGTGGAAGCTACAAGTTCCACAACTTTCCATAGAAAAGTGCGGTCTTCTAGAATACTGCAATGTCTAAAAAGAAAAAGAAATTATAAATAGTTAAAAATAATAGCAAAGAAACATAAATGAAAAGCGTAACAAAAAGTAGACATATAGTGATATTTACAGTCATGGCCAAAAATATTGGCACTTCTGTATTTCTGTCAATAATGCACCACTTGTTTAGGCATTCTCATGTTTATTTCTTTTGTTTGTATTGGTATGACACAAAAAAGCGGAGAAACAAAAAGCCAAGTCTGACACATTCCACCCAAACCCCCCAAAAATGGACTGGACAAAATTATTGGCACCCTCAATTTAATATTTGGTAGCACACCTCTTGGAAAAATAACTGAAATCACTCGCTTCCTGTAACCATGAATGAGTTTCTTACACCTCTCTACTGGAATTTTGGAGCACTCTTCTTTCGCCAACTGCTCCAGGTCTCTCAGATTGGAAGGGTTCTTTTTTCCAACTGCTGTTTTAAGATCTCCCACAGGTGCTCTATGGGATGGAGATCTAGACTCATTGCTGGCCAGTTCAGTACTCTCCAACGCTTTGTCTGAAACAATTTTTGGGTGCTTTTTGATGTGTGCTTTGGGTCATTGTCCTGCTGTAAGATCCATGACCTGTGACAGAGACCCAGCTTTCTGACACTGGGCCCTACATTGCACCCCAGAGTTCTTTGGTAGTCTTCAGATTTCATAATGACATGCACATGGTCAAGACATCCAGTGCCTGAAGCAGCAAAGCAACCTCAACACATCAACCATGTTTGACTGTAGGAACTGAATTCTTTTCTTTAACGGTCTCATTTCTTTTTCTGAAAACAGTAGAATGATGGGCTTTACCAATAAGCTGCAATTTTGTTTCATCATTCCACAGCACATTCTCTCAAATGGATTTTGGCTTCCTCAGATAAGTTTTGGCAAACTCCAATTTGGCTTTTTTATGTTTCTGTGTCAGCAGTGGGGTCCTCCTGAGTCTCCTACCATAGTTTCCCTTTTTATTCAGATGGTGACGTATAGTGCGATCTGACACATTTGTACCCTGTGCCTGAAGGTCAGCTTGAATTTGTTTGGAAGTTGATCGAGGTTCTTTATCCACCATTCGATCAATCCTTTGTTGCAATCTTTGCACACAGGAACATTAAGATCTCTGGAGATGGACTTGTAACCCTGAGATTGTCCATGCTTTTCCACAATTTTATTCTCACATCATCAAATCCTTTGCTTCTCTTTCTCCTCTCCAAGATCCATGTGGCACACAGAGACACACAACAGAAAATGTTTTTTAACTGGTTGCTGGTGTGATTTCTATATTGTCAGCACCTGTTAACTGATACAGGTGAGTTCAATTACAAATTACAGGAGCGTCACAAATTTGGAATGTAATTATTGCTTGCAATTTTGAGAAGGTGCCAAGAATTTTATCAAGTCAGTGCCAATATTTTTGGCCATGACTGTATAGAGCAGGGGTCCTCAAACTTTTTAAACAGGGGGCCAGTTCACTGTCCCTCAGACTGTAGGAGAGCCGGACTATAGTTTAAAAAAAAAAAACTATGAACAAATGCGGACACAGTACAGGAGATGACCAGAGACTGTGGACAGTACAGGGTATGACCAGAGACTGCGGACACAGTACAGGGGACGTCCAGAGACTGAGGACACAGTACAGGAGATGACCAGAGACTGAGGACACAGTACAGGAGATGACCAGAGACTGCGGAACATAGTACAGGAGATGACCAGAGACTGCGGACACAGTACAGGGGACGTCCAGAGACTGCGGACATAATACAGTAGATGACCAGAGACTGCGGACATAGTACAGGAGATGACCAGAGACTGCGGACATAGTACAGGAGATGACCAGAGACTGCGAACATAGTACAGGAGATGACCAGAGACTGCGGACATAGTACAGGAGATGACCAGAGACTGAGGAAACAGTACAGGAGATGACCAGAGACTGAGGACACAGTACAGGAGATGACCAGAGACTGAGGACACAGTACAGGAGATGACCAGAGACTGCGGACATAGTACAGGAGATGACCAGAGACTGCGGACACAGTACAGGGGACGTCCAGAGACTGCGGACATAATACAGTAGATGACCAGAGACTGCGGACATAGTACAGGAGATGACCAGAGACTGCAGACACAGTACAGGAGATGACCAGAGACTGCGGACACAGTACAGGAGATGACCAGAGACTGCGGACACAGTACAGGAGATGACCAGAGACTGCGGACACAGTACAGGAGATGACCAGAGACTGCGGACACAGTACAGGAGATGACCAGAGACTGCGGACACAGTACAGGAGATGACCAGAGACTGCGGACACAGTACAGGAGATGACCAGAGACTGCGGACACAGTACAGGAGATGACCAGAGACTGCGGACACAGTACAGGAGATGACCAGAGACTGCGGACACAGTACAGGAGATGACCAGAGACTGCGGACATAGTACAGGAGATGACCAGAGACTGCGGACATACAACGGCGGCGGGAATACTGGGCCAGCCGCTCCATAAGACGCACAGACATTTCCCCCCAAGTGTGTCTTATGGAGCGAAATAGTGCCCCATCATTGGTGTCAGTGGGAGGAATAGTGCCCCATCATTGGTGTCAGTGGGAAGAATCGTGCCCCATCATTAGTGTCAGTGGGAGGAATAGTGCCCCATCATTGGTGTCAGTGGGAAGAATCGTGCCCCATCATTGGTGTCAGTGGGAGGAATAGTGCCCCATCATTGGTGTCAGTGGGAAGAATCGTGCCCCATCATTAGTGTCAGTGGGAGGAATAGTGCTCCATCATTGGTGTCAGAGGGAAGAATCGTGCCCCATTATTAGTGTCAGTGGGAGGAATAGTGCCCCATCATTGGTGTCAGTGGGAAGAATCGTGCCCCATCATTAGTGTCAGTGGGAGGAATAGTGCCCCATCATTGGTGTCAGTGGGAAGAAATGTGCCCCATCATTGGCGTCAATGGGAAGAAACATGCCCCATCATTGGTGTCAGTGGGAGGAATAGTGCCCCATCATTGGTGTCAGTGGGAAGAATCACGCCCCAACATTGGTGTCACTGGGAGGAATAGTGCCCCATCATTAGTGTCAGTGGGGGGAGGAATAGTGCCCCATTGTTGGTGTCAATGGGGGGAGGAAAAGTGCCCCACCGTTGGTGTCAGTGTGGGGGGGGGAATAGTGCCCCATCATTGGTGTCAGTGGGAAGAAACGTGCCCCATCATTGGTGTCAGTGGGAGGAATAGTGCCCCATCATTGGTGTCAGTGGGAGGAATAGTGCCCCATCATTAGTGTCAGTGGGGGGAGGAATAGTGCCCCATTGTTGGTGTCAGTGAAGGAAGGAATAGTGCCCCATCGTTGGTGTCAGTGGGGGAAGGGGATAGTGTCCCAACATTGGTGTCAGTGGGAGGAATAGTATCCAATCATTAGTGTTAGTGGGGGGAGGAATAGTGCCCCATTGTTGGTGTCAGTGGGGGGAGGAATAGTGCCCCATCATTGGTGTCAGTGTTGGGGGGGGGGATAGTGCTCTGTCATTGGTGTCAGTGGGGGAAGGGGATA